TCACACTAATTCATTATCTAATACCAAGTGGTCAGCCCTGAAAACATACATAAAAGTGACCTTATATGAACTGAACAGACTATATATACATATATGTTTGCAATAACAATTAATGAAAAAAGAGGCCATGAATTTGAAAGAGAGTAAGGAGGGGTCTATGGGGGGCTGCAATTAGGAAAAGAAGGGGATAAATGATGTAATTATATTATAATCAAAATAAAAAATAAAAAATTATGGATGTTAAAGATCATTCATGTGAAGTATCAGATGGGAAATGAGGAGAAAGTTATTGGCAGCTGGAAGAAATATGATCATTGTTCTAAATAGCAAAGAACCCCCGACTAAGCTATATTATGGTTTTGTGGAAGACAGAATCTGTGAACAATGAAAGTAGTTATCTAGTTTATACCTCTTTCAAAAATATTTTTTATTTTTAGAAATTACATTATAATTACACCTTTCCCCCTTTTCTTTCCTCCAAACCTTCCCTTACACTCCTTCTTGCTCTCTTTCTAATTTATAGCCTTTTCCCATTGATTGTTGTTACATATATATACATAAATATATAAATTTATATCCTTAAATACATATATACAACCTGCTTATTCTGTATAATAAGTGAGAGAAATTATCTTCTGCAGGGAAGAGCACAACAGTTGGTTATCCAATATCAATTGGTCATCCCTGAAAACATATACAAACAAGAAACATTACAATCTTTTTTTCCTTTCCTTTTTCTGTTATAATGTTGATGACTTGACCCTTGCTAGGCAAGCAATCTGCCACAAAGCTGTGTCTCCACCTCTAACCCAACTCTGGAGATTTCTAAGCTAAGATTTGAAGGAATGGCTTGATTATTCAACATTGCTTATAGTAAAACACAAAAGGAGAGAAATGAATTGAATGAAGAATAAGTTAAAAATGCAGAAAATTTCAGCTTACCTATAATGCAAAAACATTAGGGTCCAGTAATAGAATGGTGTTGTCTGGACTGTGTGCCCCCCAAATAAGTTTAAATCTTATCCCCAATATGACTATATTTGCATATAAGATCTCTAGAGTGTAAGTAAGGTTAAATTATGTCATAAAAGAGGGGTCTGCATTCATGTGTGGTGATGCGTGCCTATAATCCTTAACCTCAGGAAGTTGAAGCAGGATGATCATAGGTTCCAAACTAGCTTGGGGTTATATAAAGCTTGTTTCAAATAAATAAGTAAATAAAAATAAGTAGAGCCAAATCTAATATGACTGATGGCTTAACAACAATTCAAGAGAGAACTTTTCTGGTACTCATGAGTCAAGACCTAAGAATAAAACCTTTGCTGCTTGTACCTTGCCCTTGGAGTTAGCTTCCAGAAATGTAAGAACTATCCTCTTTTTGTTTAAGACATTCCGTCTATGGTATTGTTATGGTAGCTAAACAGAAAAATACCACATTTAAAAGCCTTGTTATAGAGTAAAATTCATCTAAACAGGCACACAATATCAATGATTCAAGTAATGGGGACAGTATTTACCACATTTGAAAGGACAAACTACATTGAATTATTAGCTATTTTTTCTTTCATTAATTTTATAATTTTAATTTACGTATAATTGTCCATAGTTATGGCATATGGTGTGATATTTCAGCACATGTATACAATGTTTAATGATCAGATTAGGGTAATTGCCATTTTAATCGCCTCATATGTTTATCACTTCTTTGTGTTGGTAATGCTCTGAATCCTCCTCACTAGCAATTTTGAGATACACAATTATAGCTGTTAACCATATTAGCCCATTGTCATGTAGAACATTACAATTGACTCCTCCTGTCCATAAGCATCCCATTTCAATGAACAATCCTAATCCTCTACACTTCCCAGAATCTGCTAACAACCATTCTTTTAATTTTTTTTATTAAATTATTCATCTTATTTTATGTGTGAGTATTTTGCCTGCATGCATGTATGTGTACCATGCACTTTCTTGGTATTCATAGTGGAAAAAAAAGGGGCATCAGATACCCTGGAAGTGGAGTTGCAGATGGTTGTGAACTATCATGTGGGTGCTGAGTCCTCTGCAAGAGTAATAAGTTCTCCTTTTTGTCTAAATAAAAATGAAAGGTTTTAACTTTAACATAGTAATACTATATATATAATAAAAACAGTTATCTAATAATGATTACATTTGCAACATTCAGTCCATTTGTGTATGGCAAATTTAGAGAAAATACTCCATTATCTACCCTATCTTAGTGATTCCAAAGCTTTATACCTAGTTTTCTTTCTGTAGTAACTAAGGAAAACTGTAACTCCAATTATTTAGTCTTAAACTCTATCAAAGACACCAGAAGGAAATAATATTATCTAACAACAGAGACATCTGGCTCCCTGGACAGTCACCCAAAGTTCCTCTGCAACACTGGGGCATCCATCTTCAGCCTACAGGCTTAGTCTCTGGCAGACTTTTCAGTGAAGCAGGAAATTTGAAGAATTGTCCTGACTTGTTTTGGTGAAGTTCAGTAGTCATTTTCCCGTGTGTCCTGCATGTCCAGTTTATACAGCATACTGTATAAATATATCTATTTAACCTTGAAAACATACCTAATGTGACTACAAGTTTGATTATTATAAACTAACTACTAACCTCATTTCTTAATTATACTTGCATTTTAAAATGAGCTGCATAAGCATAATACCCAAACAAGAGTAGAAACATATATACAGTATAACAAAAATAACTTTAAATTTGCATCAATATACCAAAAATCCATGCCAATGCAAAATATCTGAGTTTAATAGTTCTTTTTATCCTATATTCCCCTAAATGATAATAAACATTTATAACTCACCAAATAACCAAAGACCACCTACCTCAACTCTCATGAATATGGGCATTGTTTTCTCTAGACTGTTTCCTGTTGTTCCTGTGGGAGCAAAAGCAAAACCTCTTCTCCAAAGCAATACATCTTTTAAATTCCATTTTACAAATACATTTTTTAAACTTTCATTTTAAAGTTAATGCATTCCTAAAGTATATAGGGTTGTTTACTTAAACAATCCCTCTTTCAATTCCAGGTCTCTTAAAAGCTCTCCTTTGCTTATCAGCAATCAAAAAATTTAAAATCAACACAATACCACATAGGGTCCAAACTCCTTGTGTATTTCCCATCTTACATGACTTTTTTCATTTATATTACTTTTGCTTTCTCTTTAAAGACTTTATTTTATTATTTTTAAACTATTATTTATTTCTATGGCTGTGTATACTCATTTTCTTTTCTTTCTTAAACTTCTTCCATTGTAAAACATACTAGAACCTGTTTAGAGTTTTTGTTTCCATCTGGACCTCTTTTAACTGTATATCTCTACTCTTTTTTGACCATGTGAACAAACTAAACTGCTAAGCTACAGCTGGGTCCTCTGCATGGCTCTATTGGCTTGCTCCACTGACTTCTAGGTTCATGAGAGCCCAGCCTAAAGCTCATGGCCTACTTGGAGATGCCTTTGACCAGGAATTGCATTCAACCTTCCAGCTATGGAATGCCAGTGCCTTGAACTGTGGCAGGAATTTTTTACTTAGGTATTGTTTTTGTTTCTATTTAGCATGAAAAAGGCTGTTTAAGTGCTCTGCTGTAAGGCAGAGTTTCTTAAAGGAGCCATATCATTTTTTTCCCCCAGCTTTTTCCTAGGGATATTCGAGAGCTCTATGATGGGTGCTAAAATGTTTTTTTAAAAAAAACTTTTTTGGCTCTTTACTCTTTGGGGGACCTGCCACCCAGCTGCCAAATAAATAACATAGAAGCTTATTCTTTTTTATGAATGCCTGGCCTTAGCTTGTCTTATTTCTAGCCAGCTTTTCTTAAATTATCCTGTTTATCTTTTGCCTCTGGGCTTTTATCTTTCTCTATTACTTCTTACTCTGTGGTTTGCTGTGTAGCTGGGTGGCTGGCCCCTGGTGTCCTCTCTCTTTTTCCATTTGCTCCTCAACCTTCTCTTCCAAGATTTCTCCTTCTATTTATTCTCTCTGCCTGCCAGCCCTGCCTATCCTTTCTCCTGCCTAGCTATTGGCCATTCAGCTCTTTATTAGACAAATCAGGTGTTTTAGGCAGGCAAAGTAACACAGCTTCACAGAGTTAAACAAGTGCAACATGAAAGAATACAACACATCTTTGCATCATTAAACAAATGTTCCACAGAATAAACAAATGTAACACATGTTTAACTAATATTCTACAACAAATAAGTATTTTTACTTTTCACCCATCTCTCTAGCCACATGGTAACCACTGTTCTATTCTTTACTTTTTTGAGGTCAACATTTTGACTTCTTCATATAAGGGAAAATATATACTTTTTGTTTTGCTTTGCTTGAATTATTTAACATCCTGTTCTCTAGTTCCATTTATATTGCTGAAAATAAAAGAATTAATTATTTCAAAGGCTGGATAACATTCATACTCCTTTTTAAAATTCAGTTACCATTACTACTAAATTGCAGTGTTGTAGAGTAATAGAATATTACTATTTATTATAACAGTAATATCACAAGAATAATTATATTTCATAGCATGATATACTTACATTACTTTAATAATTAATACTATCAGTATTACTGTTAATTTAATTGGGTGTTATTTCTGTCAACCAGTTTTAACATAAGACTATGTACATTTAAAAAGGAGTAAGACTCTGTTGGTTAAAGGTGTTTCATAATTGATGGTTTTTTTGTCAGTGACAGGAGGTCTATAATTTCTTTTTGTCAAGTCTCTCTACTAGACAAATCTTTAAGTGTATTAATGCATACAATTAACAAAAAATAATCATGGGGAACTTTGATTGGGTTGAAATAAAAAGCAAGCAAAAGAAATCCAATGGCTTTGCTTCCTGTGACTGCCAGGAAGCTGTCCATTTACATCCAGTATATGTAACTTTTATAGGTAAAAGTAAGTTCAAGTTTATAACATCCATTGTTCTTCTGGAAACTATTAGTAATGGAAATGTACTCTTTTACAGGTATCAAGGTTACATCTATACATATCGAGTGTCGCAGACAGAAACAGGTTCTTGGAGTGCTGAGGTACATCTCATTTATTTTTGCTTCTTTGGGTACCAACAAAGTGCATGAAATTTAGGTTTGTATATAAAAGAGAAGTTATATCATATATTACCAAAATATTAGTCATATTTAAATCACGAACGCTCAATTCCATATTCGTTGGTGGTTCATTTAGAAGCCTTTAGAAAATTTTGGTTCCAGACCTGTGCGGAAAGGGATTACTTTAGAGAATGAAGAAATCTGAAGAATCATGTCTAATTTACTTACAGTGCCTTTACGAACTTTTAGAATGCATATACTGAATAATACTTATGTGTACATTGGTGCTGTTGTGGATAAAAACAAACAAACTGGGTATTCTATTTTCTACTAGTCACTAGTAGCCTTTAGGAGATATAACAGGCAATTAAAGTGCAGCACGAGATCCTGGGCCATGTCCAATGCATCCAGACTCCATGTGGTTCTTCCTATAGTTACTTTTGATTGAAGCAATTTGTAAAATGAGCCTACAAACATTTTCTCAGAGGACTCATTTCAAGGGGCATAAGATAATGCAAGTAAAGAAGCTTTTAGGTGCAGAGTCTAGCATAAAGTGAACATTCAAAAATGTGAACTACTGAAAACTGCTCAACAATATGATTATATATAGTCCAGTGCTAAGTTACCAAGACAGAGGCATTTCCAAGCATCCAGGAAATTGATGCTGCTCTGTGTGCATCAGCAAGACTCTTGAAAGAGCCATGTTGGTGGCCTCTGGGTAGTGGGGATAGAGAAGAGAGAACATTGCAGTTTTTATTTAATAAAAATATTCTTTGAGAATTTCATAAACATATGCACAACAAATTCCTACCTGCTATTGCAGTATTTTAAAGGGATTTGTTTTCCAAATTACAATTATCCTCTATCTTAGGTCTCCCTGGAAAGGGGGTTGCAGGAGAGGAAGATGTGAGTGGATTTTTTCTGGGTACCTATCTCACTTCAGTTGTGAAGTACTCTTTAGTTTTCCTTATGAATGGAGAGTTGGAATAAGATTTATTCAGAATGAAGGTTTCTTGTGGCTTTGAAAATATTTGAGTGCCACTGTGCCAGTTCAAGAAATGAGGGAAATCTTTCTACAAGGCATAATAGGAGGTAGCATAGAATAGCCCATCTTATGAATCACTTAATGATTCCACAAATGTAGTTTTTAAACTCATATGCTTTAGTTAGTTTCTGACTTTATAATAGTCCATTCTGATAGTGGAAGTACTTCACTATGATCTTTGGGAAGCATAGATATTAATTCAACTTTTATTAGTAGCTTAATTAATCTGTGCATTTATGACATTATAAAGTCTAGACAAAAATTTTAAATGTCTTACAAATTTATCAGTAAAAAGAAAAATACAAACTACAAGCATTTAATTTGTGGAAATGAATTAGAATATATTCAAAGACCTTGTTATCTTATTAATAGGTTAATTTTATAATTTAGTTTTTTTTTTTAAAAAAATAGGATTAGGGATGAAACCCAGAGTCTCATGCCTACCAGGCAAGTGCTATAGCACTGAGCAATATCCCTAACTAATTTTATTTTTTTAATTGCCATATATTCACTGAACATAGTAATGTGTTTTATAAGACTGATATATAATGTTCTTTGATTATGTTCCTCTATACGATACTATATCCCTCTCTGGTAACATTGTTACTTTATGTCCAGATAATTAATACTGTGATACTATATAAGGAAAAATCAGTATCATTTCTAATCAAAACTATCTTTCTTTTTAAAAAAAGATCTATCGCTAAAAATAAACGAGCAATTTGATTTATCATGAAGAATAGTTATGTGTAGCTGATATATGTGAGTTTGTGTATGGATTGGCCACAAATAATCCTTTTCCCTCAAGAAATACCCTTCAGTTGAGCACTAAAAATACTTTTATGGAAAGAATCTGTGATATTCTTGTGATTTAAAAAATTAGTTCCTTGAGAATTTTGTGCAACATGTTTTGATCATATTTACCGTTGTCCTCCAGTTCCTCCAAAATCCATTCCTCCCTCCCTATCCACCCAATTTTGTGTACTCTTTGTTTTGCTAAATCTCTCAACTCAATTTAGTCTGCCCAAATATTCTTGGATGTGTGGCCTTCCACAGAAGCATGATCGATTTACCAGGGGCTATTCTTTTAAAGAAAGCTGGCTCTTCTTCTCCTGGTAGCTATCAATTGCCAATAGCTCCTTGCCTAGGAGCGGGACTTTATGCCCACCTCCTCTCTTCATGCTGGGATATGATCTGGTTTGGGCTTGCACAGGTCTTGTGCATGCTGTCATAACCACCATGAGTTCATATGTGAAGCTGTCCTGCTGTGTATGGAAGACACTGTTTTCTTGCAATTATCTATCACTTTACACCATTTTCACCTCCCTTCCTCAATGATCCCTGAGCCTTGGGAGGAAGGGATGTGATATGGAGTCTTAGACGCGTTTTATAATTTGTGTTCTTCCATTTCACGTATAACATCATATCACATCGTTACATATTTGTAATCATTTTAAGAAGGAGAGTGTTTGTTGAACATAAATATCCCTTATCCTATTGTCTGATTTGACCCTCCTTCTATAATAATATTGTAATTATTTACACCTTGAGAGCAGAAGATTGGCATGGATTATCCCCAAATGGGAAAGAGGTAAAAACATCTTTGTTTCATGAAGTGCATATTGCATTTTGTTCTGTCTACAAAATTTGCCTTCTTGTTAAGGTGAATATTAAACTAGTGAATAATTCTCAGAGCTCATACCAGCTGGCTTGAAGAAATTTCTCCAGAGTGTATTGAAGATCAGCTGTGAGTCAAAACATATTTCCATGGATAGCTAAGAGGTGGCAGTGTGAGAAATACACAAATTTGAACAGGAACTGAATTCACTGACAGGATAGTGGCAGTAATTCTCCTTTGGTGTGTGATAAATGTCTTTCCAGAATGGGTAAGTGGCATTTGTACTACTTTCAGGAAAACTATTTTAGTTTGCCACACTATAAGAAAAGGTCATGTCAGGAACATTCTATCCTGTGTCCCTAGGTAAGTATAAGGTATGTTTTAAGATGTGATATTAAATTGAACCTTGAATCTATTGAATTATGAAAGACAAATATGTATCTTTTTCATTTTCGGTAGAGCACTACTGGGGATATTAACTTAGTCCTTGGAGGCTAAAGTTATGATGAGTTGTTGATTATCATTTATTAATGTATAGATTGTTAGCAGTGCATTGTCAAAAGTGTACTGCTCTCTCTCTGCCAATTTCTGTGCCTTTGGGCTTTTCTGGGTAGTTGGTCACCAGGAAATCCTTAGCAAATTACTTATTAGCCTAAGCAAAGCATTATAAATTAGGTGAGTCATTTGCTAAAGAAATGCTGCATCTCAAGTTCCAATTGCTTCTATATGTCCAGTGATATTTGTCCTCTTTGTCAGCATGAATAATCAAGTGTTAATTATCAGCCCCCATAGAAATAACGCCTATGTTGAAAATGCTTTTATAAGCCACAAGAACTAGCCTAAATGAAGTGTGATTTGAAATGATTCCCCTCTGGGGAAATATGCGGTTTCTCCTCTGGCTGGCGACTTCAGCATCACTTGAAACCTCTTGGTATAGTCCTAATCTGAAAAGAATGCAGACAATTCTGCTTCTGATTGCATATGTGACCTCACACCTCCTTATTAGTTTACATCATGCCAGATGATTAGGTTATATGTTTGTATCTGTGAAATGAGAATAACTGAAAGAATATCTACCAATCCACGAGGAAATAGTGAAGGCAAGAGATAGGAAAGTGTTTTGAAAAATCAAAAAATGCCCTAAGGAAGAACTAAGGAGGTATTTTGTACCCATTGCACGCCTTTGTAATTTGCAGAGTCTGTCTTGGAGCCAAAGAGCTATCTGGGTTTCTACGAGAATGGCTATGCTATTTTTAGATAAGGCAGCAACAGAAATTTAGGACGTCTTCTGATCACAAGGATAGAAATGGGCAGGAAAGCTGTCTATCTGTTGAAACTGTACAGGTGGACACTAATTTACAGCTAAAGAGAACATCTATAGTGTTTGTACAGGAAAACTACCTACTCCAAAGTAGGCAATGACCAAGAGTAACTTTGGATAGCCTGTTATCTAGAGTTTAAAGTATAGTTGACAGAAGTCTGTGTGCAGGCCTTCATGTTTTCTCATTAAATGCTAAAAACCAAGCAGTTCTCATCTCAAAAATCTTCCAGATGGAATAGCTGAAAAACAACTTCCTAAAAAAAATAAAAAGAAAGAAACAAAACTAGTCATTGTTCAATTGCTCGTAACAATACTATTTTATTTTATGTAAAATGACAGTTTTGAGCTGCTGCCTAAAGCATGGCTCATAAGCTTTGTGGGGAATGTTGATTTCAGGCAGTGTCTTCGTGAGAGCACAGATGTCAGGAAAAGAAGACATTCTTAACAGCCACCTGCAAATGCAATCTCTTTAAAAACTAACAAATATATAAATAAAGATAACCTTCTATAGTCTTTCATTTTCATGCCATAGAAAACCTTGTCATGGTGCAGTGCTGACCGTGAGAATAGCTTGGGAAAAGAACACAAAACTAACATGAAGGATGAGTCAGTATTGTATTACGGGGTAAAAGCGTGTAAGCATCAGCCAGCCATGCAGTTGTATGTATCCTAACAGTCACTTTTTAATTTTTCTGTGTAGTATTTTATATTGTAAAATGATGGCGTGGGACAGGTTGTTGGTTGTTTTTGTTTTGGTTCTGCGGGCTTTTTATTAATGATCTGTAGGATATCTACTTTTTTTTATGTTTAATTGCATCCCCTCTGTTGTTGAATTTATTGTGGGTAATGGCCTGTACACCCTTAGAGGTTTGGGATGTATGATGGGTAGCAGTCAGGAAGGGCAGGACTGTGAGCAAGAGCTTGCATAAACTAGTACTACCCTTGGGAGAACTGCAATGACAGCTCATTAGCTCCTCTTGCAGGGAAATTCAGCCAAGCAAAGTAAGCTCTTCTGGATGTTGTTTTCTATTCTTCCGTATGTTTTCAAATATTTGAGCAAGTTACACAAATGTTACCTCTCTAAGCATCCTCTCACATCTTATAGGTCTTTTTTTTTCTTTTAGCATTATGAGGCAAATAAATTTTTTTTGGTCTTTTATTTTCCAGACAGCACCTGGGGTACATAAAAGATTTTTCCGGAAAATAAAAAATCTCATTTCAGCATTTCAGAAGCCAGATCAAGGCATTGTAATACCTCTGCAGTATCCAGTTGAGAAGTCCTCGGCTAGGAGTACACAAGGTACCACAAGTGTGGCTTCCTGCTCAGTTTTGAAATAGTTGGGAAGTTTAGAGTTAGGGGGTCAACCTATTCATAACCACAAAACAAGCAGGAAGACTCACAAGAAAAATTCAACAGGGAAGTAGCCAGCAAATCAGATGAGAGTAAACTATGCGAAGGGGCCATAATATACTTTAATATATACTTTTAATAAAACTGCAAAGCCATAGAAAGTCTATGAGGCCAAGATATTTTAATCTCTTTATTTCCATCTTATTCTTCCTAGTCCCTTTTGGAGACAGTAAGTATCATTTTACTTCAGTAATCTATGCACATATGATTTGAAAGATGAGACAGTTCAGGGAGCACGTGGGCTGTTCGTTCACTTTTGCTTACTAAACAACCTTCTTTTCCCTTCTGGCACAGAAAGGCTAATGTTAGCCTAGTTCCTGTGCTTCTGATTTCTGAACTGATGATGTTTGGATGAATGAAATTTTACAGTAGCAAAGGAAATGAGATTAGCACTCTTGCTTGTTTTACTGGCATTCATGATTCTCTTGAGCAAAGCTATTATTAGTGAATGTATTGAGCTGAAGAGTGTCCACTAACCAATTGATGACTCTATCCATTGTTCTTTTATCAAGTCAGGTGAATATTTTGTTTTGAGTGAGAAAATGTACCTTTATTGATACACTTAGTATGTATGATAAAATGAGTTTTTATAATTTGGTAGACAGGGAACCAGGCTCAGACATAAATTGATAATTAGACTCAAATATGAATTAAATTAATGAACAGTTAGCCTTTGACATAGAAATGTAAATAGACCTCCAATTTAGGAAGCATCCAACTTTCCTTCCTGTCCTATTCTTTATGGTGGCATTTTAAATAATAGCTGCATGAAGCATAGCATTGGTCGAATATTATAAATTTGAGTTAAACTATCATTTTAATACTGTATGAATTTCTCTTGACTTTTGCTAATCTTTTTCTTTAGGGAGAAGTGATTCTGATGTCTGCCTGAAAGCACCATGAAGAAGAATAACACACCCTGTCCGTTATTTTCAATAATTTAAGTACATGCCAAGTCTTGTATATTGTAGATAATACAGTTCAGTGAACTGCAAATGCCTTTTAACCACCACTCTAGTCCTGTAATAGGAGCATCTCGCCCACGTCAAAGCTGAAAGCAGACGTTGTAGATAACAAGTGCTTTAAAGTGAGGATTGGGAAACAGAATCCCTTAGAGTATTTTTACTTCCTGTATTTACAAATAGGAAACAGTTTAAAGCACAGTGAAGACCTTACAAAAGATTAATGTCAATTCTTGCCACATGTAAATAAAAATAATCTTCATTTTTTTTTTTTTTGTCAAAAGCAGCATTTCTGTAAAGTATTTGATAGCTACTGATTTTCAAGTGTCTTGCTTGATTTCATGGTAGGAAGGTTGGTGTACAGATCTCAAGTAATTGTGGTGCCTTAGGCTTCTTTGGGATTTATGAAGTTGTGTATGAAAAGAAGTACTAGATAAAGAGAAAAGCATATTTGTTGAAATTTGAAATCGACCTTCTTGCCTAGAGTTTTTCTGTCAAGACAGTTAAATCTTTGGACCAGTGGGGTGTGGTAGTGCATACTTTTCATTCCAACACTTGAGAGGTTGGGGCAGGGCGATCAAGAGCTTAATATCATTTGGCTACAGGACACACTGCTTCAAAATCTAAACAAAACCCAGAGGCCAAACCAGTTTACAAGCCTATGATTTCAAATAGGCTCTGTAAGTTTATTGTATTTGATGCTACAGGTTTTGAGATTATGTTAGAGATTCGATGAAATGATGAAATGAGATAGATTTTTATTTTCATGTATTGCTGCCCTAGTTGTTTTTACTACACGCAGAAATTTATTTGGAAGGGAACCTTCAGTAGCTGCATCTCATGATCAACTGATTTGTAATTAGGGAACCCTACAAAGGCTTGTGGTTTCATTAATTTTCAGCAATTCTGAGTCATTGAAACCTAAGTCAGAGTTGGATTGTGGGCAGTGTTTTCTTCTCACATTTGTATTTTCATGGCTTTTGTGATTGATAGCATGCCAGGTTGCTTCAGGGCTCACAGAATTCATTCACTCAACCAACATATTAGGGCAGAGAAGTAAAAACACCTGTTTCTTGCCTTCAGGCAGTTCAGTGTACATTTGGACAGGAAAACAGTAACAGTAATAACAATAAAAAGAATTTTAGAGACAACAATGACTATAAAAGTTGATAAATATATAAGTGGAGTTCCCAATATGTAGGTAGATTTGTACTTAGTGGTACGATAAATCAGCACAAATACTCTGGTCCATACTAATACATTAGAAGTCTCGTGTTGTTGTGAGCTTGGTTAATAATGAGTGAGCTGCTGACAGACAGCGCTACTTTGTGTGTACTTAACATTTAACGTGGATGCTTTGAGCATGCAAAGATGGAGTATGGTGACGGCAATGCATTTTGGGCAGCTCGCTATTTGTTGAAATGACAGCATCACTAACTTTAAGTAAATTAAAAAGCCTACTTTCAAGATAAAACAAAACACATATGTTTACTTTTTTTTTTAGATAGGGTGTCATGTAGTCCAGGCTGATCTCCAGCTTGTTGTGTAGCTGAGGATAACCTTGAAGTTCTGATCCTTCTGTCTCCACCTCCTGAAGGCTTGTATTAGAGTCAGGAGCCACCAACATGACTTCTGCAGCACAATGGTTTTTACCCAGGGCTTTCTGTGTACTAGATAAGCACTCTACCAACCAAATGACACCCTCAGTCCCTAAAAATATTTAAAAGTTCTTTAGTTTGAATTTAGATTTCAATGCATGTTTTTTATTTAATTCTTCAAACTTTATTGACTCTTTGTGGATTTCACATCATGTATCCTCATCCCCACCCATTTCCCTGTCCCCACATCCACCCTCCCCTCCAAAACAAAACAAAATTTAAAAGAAAAACCAAAAACCAAAGAAAGCAAACAAACACAACAAATACGAAAACAAAAAACCAAAGCAAATAAAATCAAAATCAAAAGAATCTCGTAGTGGAAGCTATAGAGTGGTCCTGTGTGTCACACAGTATACCCTCCAGTCCTTTCATCTTTACTTCAATTCATGTTTTTAACTCTCTGAAATCTGTTCACTTTGGAATAACTAAATATGTGAATGATATTTGTGTGTTCCTTTATAAGAGTTTCTTTTGAAAAATGCTTCCTGAAATCATTAGTGGTCTTTCACCTTTTAATAAAGTATTTGAACGTTTTATTTACCTAATTTGTTTTTAGATCTTTCACCTTTTAATCAAATATTTGAAAGTTTATTTACCTAATTTGTTTTAGGTCAATTTGAATTTACCTAATTCATTTAAATACAGAGACAGTCTGGTCTACACAGTGAGTTCCAGGTTAGCCAGAGCTACATGGAGAAACCCTGTCTCTGACTCAAAAATAACCAAACAAATAAATAAAATATAGAGACAGATGCTGCTAATAAACTAAATCATTGATGAAGACTACCTTCCTGTATTGGAATGATTCCCTGGAAAAGTTAAGAACTTTTCTGATTTTACTATTGTCAAACTTTCCAGTTCATGAGCCTCTTCTCTGGCTGGACTTTACCCATCAAGTTGTTTCCATTTCTTTTCTTCCCTAACATGAGTGACTGTTATTTCCCAGTGTGTAATAGGTGCACTTTTTACAGTGGTAGTCAGGTATGCCTGTAAGATGCCAAGTCAAGGTAGAAAAAAAAAACACATGCTGAATGAAAATGAGTACATGACTGATCCTGGGTATGGTTGAGGAGAAGGGTTTATTGTAGATATGAGAGAGGTCACCCAGAGGCATCTGGAAGGGTCCAGACTGAACAGGGCCATGGGAGGAGAGAGAGATATGGAGAGAGGAAGAGAGGAAGAAGAGGAAGAAGATTGAGGAAAGAGCCAAGAAGACAAAGAGGCCAAGAGCAAGCCAGCTAGGAGCCAAGTGACCAAGAGAGAAGAACCAAGAGAAATCATGGCTAAAATTGCTGAGGTTATATAGAAAAAAGAAGCTGGGGGAAGGGAAGCAAAGCCCAGTCCCTGGACTGGTTTACGGGAGGAGGCACAGGTACTAAGTGAGACTTGTTCCCAGTTTCTTTGGAACCTGACACATGCATTTCCAAGAATATACCTCTTTTGAAAAGTGTGTCAGCAAGCCCACAATGCGTATGACAGCTTATCAAATACTAGTCCATTTCTTCAGAAATTTGTTATTAGAAGCATAAGGTCAGTAGGGAGACAAGCTTAGGTAATTGTCTGTTTGACTGTGACAGGCAAGGGGCCTTGTGGCAGTTCACAGGTAGAATAAATCTACAACGGATGTGTCTGATGAAGCCACCAGGTATAAATAAAGGGCTGGATGTCAGACATTCTTCCTTTAGATAGAATGGATAATTTGAAAATGTGAGAAACATTTGAAAATCTGTTATGAATGTTATGACATTAGACTATGTTTTATTTGATTCACTTTATTGAGCTCAGAATCCCAAGTCTATTAATAATAAAAGCCAGATTTGTCCTTGAGTGTTTCAAGGTTACATGAAAACGGGCTTTCTTGTTAGGGTGCCATAAATTCAAGTGTGTCGCCTGTGTTTGCCCTTGCAGGGAATGGGATCTTCCTAGTTCTCAGTTTGCAGCTAGGGGTGAAGTTAAACTATCCTAGTTTGGAGACTTGCATACTTTGGGGTCACTGGCCAAATATCTAGTAAAAGGCTGAATTATTAGTAGGTCATTTGAGTTTTATGTGTATGTGAATGTGTGTTCCTGCTCTTGTGTGCATGCTAGTGAAGGCTACAGGACAACCTCAAGTGTCATTTCTCAGGTTCTGTCCACCTATTTTTTTTTCTGGAGACAGGTTCTCTTTCTGGGCTGGGTCTCATCAAACAGGCTACACTGGCTGGCCAGGAAGCCCCCAGGAATTTGCTTTTCTTTGCTTTCCAAGTGCTGGGTTATAATTATGTGCTACCATGCTAGGTTCAAAACAAAAAATATAGAACAAAACAAAACAAACAACCCAGTATTTTTATGAATTCTTTGAGGATTTCATTTAATGTATTTTGAACATATTCCTCCTTCCTTCTCCACCTCCTTCCATAACCAGCCTTTCCACTCTCCCATTCTTTCCTAGCCACCTTTGAGAGTTTTTTCATCCTTTTCTCTTTCTGCATCTAGTCCAGTGTGTGTTGCCCACCTAGTCTCGAGGGTGGGCTGTGCCTTAAGGTCCCGGCTGTTTTGTGCTGTGTGTGTTGTAGGGTCAAATCCAGAACCTCCTGCTTGTGCAGCAACGCTTCCCTTCATTTGTGTTCTTGCCCCTCATTTGCTCTTCTCTTGCTTTTTAAAAGGACATGTTTTGATGTAACAAAGGCGACAAACGGGATGGATAGAGCCCGTTGAAAACACACAGAACCCCCGCCCCCCCCAAGCTCCTCTCCCACCCCTGAAATTCATTTGCCTTCTCACAAGAAGTTACGTGGTGATGCCACATTTGGCATTGGAATTAAAGCAGAAATTCATGAGACCTGTATTTTCTTTGCATTTTGGCCACTCACAAGAGTCCATGTGACCTTAGTTAAGTCAATCTGATACTTTTGCAGCACTTACCAAGTAGGAATAATTCAATCTTATTCATCTCACTGGGTTATGGAAGTACTAGAATTACATGATTTTAAGGTAGCAACAGTACAAAATATTTGCATACATATTCAAATATTAAAAGTCAAGGTGATCAGTGAAGGAATACAGGCAAAGTTCTTATTTCCTATAATGCTTCTGTTAAAGTAGGGACTGTTGGCATTTTTTTTTGTTAAATACAAGAGTCAGGTAGAATGCACAATTAAAAAAAATCCACAGGAGAAACTAATAAATTCCCTCTTTTGTATTGATGGTATGTGTTGAGACAAGGGTATCTTCTACTTTCTAAGTAATTTTTCTGTACATGTGTATGTTAGGTCCAAAGTGGGCCCCAAATGGCTGTGGCACTATCAATGTCTAAATGACAGTCTAGGCTCAGCTCAGGCTGGATAAACAGAAGGATTGATGACTGGGTAAACAGAAGGATTGATGGCAGAGAAACAAAAGCCTAAAATCAGCATTCCTCAGAAACTAGTAAAGTGGCTGTTTGTCTGAAAGACCCACTATTTTCCTTATTTGCTCTTACAGCTGACTACCTCTGGCAATGGTGTATCTAATTTCTATGCACCCCCCTCCCCAACCCCGATCTTTGGGTCCACAAACCTCCGAAGCCACTATTCTAACTTCTAGGCTGTCCTGGTTTACAGGCTCCCTCCTGCCGCAACACCCACCTGGAGGGCTTTCTC